TTGATTGGTGGCAATAGATTCTGGACCCAATTGATTATTGATTTTTGGCACGCAGGGTAAGCTGCAGAACATGAAGGAGTCGGGAAACTGTTTTGGAGTTGCAGTCGGTCTCCACCGCCACTTTTTCCTCAAGTCTGCACAGTGTTGACAGAAAGGTTTGGCCTGTTATATACGCGCTTTTGCCAGACAATTAGACAGCGACGCACAGCGTGCTCTTTCATATGCAGCTGTAGCGGAACTGCATCCATTTTTGATGTGACGTCGAAATGTCGTTATCCTCGGTAAGAGGGTGTCCAGCCCTGTCCTTCAAGACTGTTAGACTGCCCTTCTTTTCACCACAAAGCCAGCGGATGATCTGCCAGAATGCCTTGTTTGCCGTTTGGAAATTCTTCGACTACAACACCTCACAGGACTTCTGCCAGGAGTCAGCTTTGGCTTTCGCCGACCTTAAGGCAGCAGGCCAACCCATATATATCCGCAGCATTCGGCGGCAGCCTCGAGTATTCCGCTCTAAAGGGCCCCAACTCAGTTTCAACATCAGTAGTTATCACCGGAATCTGCTGTGTGTTGTGGAAACTGTCGTGTGATGTTTGCAAGTTTCGTTCTCGCATTCATCGACGATGATGTTTCCCATATTATTTTCTGGTTCCTTCTGCCACCAGCTCTTAGTATGGTGCTCCATTTTCACAGCCAACAAGGTTATGATCGAATGACAGCTGTGCACTTCTAATAACCGTTGCACAGCGTTCTAAATCAGACGATACAATTATCAAATCGACCATCGACTTTCGTGCACAATTTTTCTCTATCAGGTATACTGAGGCACGCTTCTATACTCGGTTTTAATAATGCCAGTCCATTGTTTGCACAAAACCGCTAAGGCCAATCTTTTTTATCATGCCTTTTCACTTTTATGGTGCTCTGTCATAATCATTGAAATCGCCATTATGATGATGATATGTCAGCATTTCATACAGAGCATCTAATTTCTCACAAAATGACCCTTATTCTCCCTTCAGACTGGGCTGAATTGGCTTGTAATAAGGTCAAAGCTTCAGCCTGTTGTAGCTTCAACCATTCTTCCGCTGACAGGCTTTCGTTCAATGAGTGTCAGCCATGTTGGGTTCTATCTGAACAACACCGGCCTGAGCAGTCGTAAAGTCGATACATGATTAGCTTCCATCGGTAAAGGTTTAGAATTCCACCGCCCTGGCGCGCTTCGTTCATATCAGTACAAATATTACCGGTGACCTAACAGCCTCACCAAATATCTCCTGCTATTCCCTCTGAATGTGGAACTTTTCTAATTTTTAACTGTGGGGATCGTTTCCGTGGATCCTTATCTGACGTGCTATAATGGAATTGAGCTATCTGCCTCCTCCGTTCAGAACGGGTAGCGGGTTCGCTTCTGACTGCTATCTTGTCGATCTTCGCCAACGGACACCGTTGTGCTACACGCCAAATATGATATCATCTCTGATCTTTCTTGACTTGTAATTTTTTTCATTCGGTATTTCGTGTTTGCTATAGTAACTGCTTCGTCTGCGGTACTTTTGGTTGTTGCTGGTCTTAATGCATTGCGTCTTCAGGAAAAACAGTAAAATGCTATAACAAAAGACATGAGCTAAATAACATTTGAAATAGTCTTTCTCCGTGCCCTTCTGGATCGCAAACGCGCGATTCAACAGGGAATGAATGACAACTTAAAAATTCGAATAGTGACATGCCAGAATCAGCGCCGCTCATTTCATTAAGTGAACCATGATACTTGATGGCAATACCGGTGCAGTTTTTAAGATGTGCATGATTCCTTACGTAGGAACGAAAATGCAGTCATTGGCCCTGTTCTTTGAGGCTCTTGCTGAACAAGTACGCTTTGAATTATGCATTATTATTGACAGCCCAGATGATGGCCACAAAAACTAGGCAATGACAGATGAAGGTAGAAACAAGTATGATGCCTTCAGAATGTGATGAACATTAGCACTGACAAGAATAGGATAAACATCGACTTATGAAGGCATAGGACAGTTTAGAATGTTACTGCTTCAATTTCCAATTTCTCGCCCCTCTTGATCAGTGTCAGGGAAAAGTTTACAAGACCGCCAATATTAGCGGTCTGATCCGATTGCTCGCTTAATGCATACTTACACATGTTGAACAGTTTTGTGATGCAATGTTGGTCAAGTGCCGTAAAATCATACCAGATTTCAATAACCGT